ATATACCCTTTTTAAATTTCCCCCCGAAGGGCCCTTTTCCTTTCAAAAAGGGGGGTTTTTTCGCCCCCCCCCCCCCCCCCCCCCCGGCTACGGGCCTGATAAGGTACTTACTGGGAACTTCAACCATAGACACTATAGGTAGAATCACCCGATCAAGTAATGAGGGAAATATCAATTTACCAGTTGGCAGACATAAAGACATCATTCACAATATTTTGTCAAAAAAGAGATTAATAACGTTAATAATAAGGTTATTTTTAATTTTTTTAATTTTTTTTAATTTAGAGACATACTGGTACCAGGTTCGTAGACTATTAAAATGCTGGGGGTGGGGTTGTATAGGGTTCAGCCGTTAAATGCCCAGAAACAGATTATTTGCACCGCTTGTGGTACTCGTCTAGTTGGCAACTGAACAAAAAGTCAAGAACCTCTAATGGACCGGAAAAATGAATAAAAGATTTAAACTTGCCGCGTAATAAAGTTAAACCTTTGTTTCCATGGTTTTGTTTTCCAACATCCTCTCTATCCTTACTAATCGTTTTGGGAAAGATGCCATAAAATTTTAATCTCATAAACCGTAACTTTACACATCACTATAACATTATGTATACTTATTCGAAACAAGGGTTATACTGATATTTTAGTGAATCTTTAATATGTACAATTATGTTTGTTCAAGAGTAAATTTAATCTTGTTTATTTATAAAGCAATCTGCCTATATAGAAAGAGTATCTGAAGGTACTAAGCAAAACGACGTAGCGCAACCCCCCTCCCCCAACCCCTAAACACCACCACACCAGGTATACACACTCAAATCGCGGTTTAAAAATTATTTAACAATGGCAAATTTATCACAAATGATTTTAAAAGTAAGTGACTATATACACCACTTAGAGTTTCAATTTACGATAGTACAACCCTACAGTTAATATACCGAACACATTCTCATAAATTAAATCGCAAATATATATATATATATATATATATATATAATTGAACTTCGCATCAATTTAACATCTTCAAATATTTCTTTAAAAATTCGTTATACTTTTGTGTCGGTCTTTTTGCACATTTCTCAATCTGTATCAAAATGTGTACTTTTCACTTTTGTCTAAATTGTTGTCACTTAATCTAGGAAAGCAAAACACTTTACAGCTCCTCCATTCTCGACAACAACAACTTTTCCATCGGGGGTGAGGGCAACATCCTTTGGGGATTTCAACCCGTCTTCTTTGGTAAGAAAAAACTTCTTAAACACACCATCTGGAGACAGTAGATGCAGGCGATTGTTTTCGTCATCAGCCAATATGATATCCCCGTTTGCCAAGCAGCACATTCCCCTTGGTACGTTCACTTGACCATCACCAGAGCCTTTGGCTTCGTACGTGAACTTCAGCACACCGGATACATGGTTATAGGAGAGTACTTTGTCAGCACCAGGATGTGACACGAGGATATCACCTGTTAGGCTGACTGCGGCATGTTTGAAAATATTACCTTGCAGTGGATCAGGAAAGGTATGGGCGACCTGCCCATCCTTGCCGTGAATGTTTATTGCTTCCTTTCCAGCAATGACGTACTGGCCCTTGCTGTCCACTGACACTGCGTGCGGCTGTGGGCTGTAGAAACTAGATAGCAGGTTGCCTTCCCTGCTGTAGATCATCACCAAGTTATCTGGCTGTGACCGCAAGACAACGTTTCCATCTTGATCCAATGCAATGCCAGCGAGTCTGCCTTTCTTCAAATCAGGCTTGGTTATAGTCGCCATCAAACGCCTGTTAACATCGTACACGTTGATCTTGTTCTTCGTCATATCCTTGTCACACCACACACCAACATATATGCGCCCTTCAGCATCTACAGCTACATGCGATAGTGTTTCCTTAGGATCAGTATTTAGGTCTACGCGGAATGACCACAACAGTTCCTTGTCCCTGGCATGTCGCATCTCGCCCATACACTCACGAATGACAGTTGACATATTGTTGACATGCTTGGCATCTAGGGTTAGGCTTTTGGTGGTTGGGATGGTCGGTAGCTTCATCTCGGTTAATTCCTTGCTGCGTCTCAGGCAGTTTGCCATGATCTGCAAGACCTCTGGGTCGGAACCGTGAGTAATTAAGGTGTTGGTAAATTCCCTGAAGCTCACAAAACATCCCTGGATCAATTCTAGCTCCTTTTCCATGGGTTCCAGGACTTCCTTTTCCTGGATCATAGCTTCGTCCACTTCTTTACGCATGCGATCCCCATTGGTTCTAACCAACGCAACGAGATCTTCCTCACGATTGCTAATAGATTTCTTCAGTTCCTCGCCGTGACAATGTAAACCCGTCTTGCGTAGCTTCATGATTGAAAGAAGACTCGTTACTCTTGTTTCTTGCTGACCAATCTCTTCTTCGGCGGTGGCCAAGCTATCTCTTCCACCTTTGGCAGCTGATGGTATGTACTCGCATTCGTGATCTTTGTGTTTAAGAGAAACGCATATTCCACATATGAACTTTACGCAGCCACAACAGAATACTTCTGCCGGGGTCTTGTTGTCATGGCTACACAGAATCTGTTGACGAGAGCGAAGTTCACTGGCGTATGCTTCATCATCGAGTTCTCCCAATGGGATGAGCTGGTGGTCGCGACTTGCACCGTGACGTCGGTGTTCTGCACTGCAGACGTCACACATGTTGTCATCACACTTCAAACATCTTTTTGTTGCATCTGCATCTACTGGGGGCTCTTTAAGGGCGCATGTCTCGCATTTGTCCTGCGTCTTCGCTTCGTCGACCTTGTTGACTACCTCAGCGAGGTTAGCAAGAAGACGGCTTTTCTCCAAATCCTCCGTCCCCTTTTCTGGCAGCTCGCATTTCCTCCTACAGATGGGGCATGGGAAACGGCGGTTACGGTCGAGTTTGATCTTCACGTGCCCCTCAATGCACCTTTTACAGAAACTGTGAACGCAAGGAAGTATTTTAGGTTCTTCATACCTATCCTCACAAATGATGCATGTCAGGAAATCTTTTTCGAGGATTTTTGAAAGAGCCATTGTGTTTGATGCAGGCTTTCTCTCTGAAAATAGAGAACGAAATTGGTTTTATGTGGAACGGTGTATGCAAGAATAGTTACAGATCTTGAAGAACATGTTCGTCGATTGAGGAATGCAAGAATACATAAGAAGCTTGCAGAACTGGTTTGACGATTATCGTTCTTTATACCCGTTTCAAATTGGGTTTTCAGCTGTACTCATACTCGTAATTAGATGGATAAACCGTAACGTCAGAATTTTGGCCTAGTAAATACGAACAAAATAAGAAAAAATATTTTATACTATCGAGATAGAATTATGATACACTCATGACTAAATAAATGGACAAATAATAAGCTTCATATTTCATTAATTACTGATTTCATTGCGCTTGAAAGTAAGGAGTTCATGCTTCATTAACGATTTTTCAAGCTAGTCTTGAAATGTTTCCACATTAAACATTCCACATTATACTTATCTTACTACCGAACCTGCGTAACAAAACTGAGGGTCTGTGTAACTATCGAGACGCCCTCGGCAGATTAATGATGACTTCTTTTCTCTAAGTTGAGAAATGTGCCGTGAATTATCCGGAGACATATCTGTGAATATTTAGTGAAATAGCAATCTGTGGCCCTGGTAAAGGATAACCTTGTGCCAATTATTATTTGTTTTTAAAAGTATTTCACTGAGGCGATACTTAGGAGCCACTAGCGTACAGTACTCTGAAACTCACTGTGACTGTCACTCTCATTTGAAGTCTTCACGATGACGACCTTTCATGTGAAAAAAAAAAAAAAAACCTAACGAGAAAAACGTGAAAGCAATGCTGAATTGCCTTATATGAAGTCTTCATTGAGGTGCGATATCTTATAAATCGGCGCTGAGCTATTTGTAGTGTATTGGTGTATGTATTGTTTACGCGTCACGCCAGGTGTCGCATGACACTTGGTATCATATATCATTGAACATACTGAGTGACCCTCGCTGTAAACTAACATAATCAAATACAATCGACAAAAAATGTTCGGAAGCTTCCTTTTTTTAAATGATTATAGTATAACCATATGAGCTAAGGTAAATATTTTAATCAAATACCGATGGATAATGCACCCACCATTCGTTACTTTTTTGAAATTCTGCCGGGAAAGGAATTCTGTGGGAGTTACAGAGACACTTATGCATGTGGGGTCAAACCTTATTTTCCACAAATCATGCAGATGGAGTGACTGAGTTTTAAGTTTGAGTAAGTCTTGACAATTAATAATAAAACTCGTTTTTAAGGCATACAGTCACACAATTTGCATTTCCATGACAAAGTAAGAGCAAGGCTTGACAATAAACAGTGGAGACATCACATGATACTGATGCCGAGCAACCTCAAAACTATTTTTACCTGTATGGGACGCATGGAATGGGATTGTCAACAGATTTTTTCTAACAATACAAACTCAAACTATTACAAATACTGTTTAACATACATACATACATGCATTCTTATGTTTTTGCGACGGCATCTGAGAAAAACTACGAATAATCCACCCAACAAATTACAATGAGCTGTCCGTTTTAATTCAGCACTACTGGTTGATTCATCCGTCGATATAATTGTCATTAAATAACCGGTATGTAATCAATAAAAATAACCAAGTTTAAGCAATTGATTAATATGCCTATTTCAGGACAAAATCTTATCTGAAGGATACACTTCAGCAGGCCCTGTATAAATTGTAATGTTAATGTTAGTATTTGGTGTAAACCAAACATGGTAAACAAAAAAATCCCCTTTTTCGATATGTAATAAGACGTAGGCTGACGTCATCAACAAAGCCATTATAAAAACAATTATGGATAAACAATTCATTGCGACGATAGCATCATAATTGACACAAAAATTGACTTATTTCACCTTGTAGAAATAAATGTGAGCATGACTTTGCAATTAAACGGATAAAAATCGTCTTGGATCTATTTTCACTTTCAACTCTTTTGAAAACGTTGCATTCTGAATTTCATAACAATTATGACAATTTATGGTGAGTTTTGAATTCCAATGATAAAACCTGTCATAGATCTGGAAATCAAATAGTACTACCTGTAAAAATTTCCAGGTATTTTACTTACCAAAAGCTTTAACAACTCCCTTCACAACGCAGTTTAAGACGCAGCTGTCGTGACTTGCAAGTTAACAGATAAAAAACCCCGGATGGGGGATACAATGGGCTTGCTAGAATCTATTTTCATTGAGCATCATTGGAGCAAGTACAAAGAAATAGAATAAAGCCAACCTCTGAACTATATCCGCAGAAAATAGCAAAGCTCCGTCTATTCGTTGAAAATAAATAAGATTTGGGGGGTTAAGTGTAAGACTGAACATTTACACACAAAAAATGACGTCGACTTATCTGACCTTGTAGAAATATAATAATTTTCAGCTCGTCATGTACGAATGTGTTCAACGCCTCACTGCACTCAAAGCAGTACTTAACTCCAGCAAGGAGTTATAACTCCTTGGCTCCAGTAATTCGTGAATCTTTCAAACATAAAACATATCGAGTCGACTAGTTTTTAAATTCAAAATTTAATTTTAATAAACTGTAACTGCCGTTACTTCATACCATGTTTTTTCTTCAAATTGTTATTCACAATCTCTTTTATATGCAGTAAATAACTGCAACTACAAGTAAGTATTTTTTTTACCAACAGAATTTCAAAATGAAAATTTAAAATCTACGTTTTCAGAGTAATGTTCTGTCATTTTAAACTATAACCATTTTTTAAATTTTTGGTAGGCACGCGGAGTGTCACGGTACATGTATCACTATTTTCACATCGTGATAAGGAGGGGCGGGGAAGAGAGAAAGCTTTTTGGTCTTTTTGTTTTCTGGTCATTCTTTTATTGAAAACTCTCTGAAATTACACCAGGCATGCCAATCACAGAACAAGTTTAATGTCTATTTAGAAATACTTAGCGCATGTGTATGTGCGGTATTCTCATTGCAATATCAGGCTCGAAGCTTGTGAGGGGAGTTCTGAACGATCCGACCTTTTTGCCTGGAGAAAGTCCGGTTTGGGTAAGTGTGATCTAGGTCAGGTCCGTAGCCAGCAATTTCAAAAGGGGGGTTCTTTTTCACAAAATGTGAACCTTTTTCAATGAAACCTTTGTGTGCCTACAAAAAAAGACCACCCCTCACATTTCTGACCACAGAACATGCAAATGCATGCATCAATTGTTTCGAGAGTTGTGTGGTAATTAGGTAACACATCTGGCTACACATGGAGTGACACCTCAGCTTTGGATTTTAAGTAGTTAGAGTGAAATTAAATATTTTGTAGAAAATTTATTCGCAAAAATGTAATATTCCATATTAAGTGGTAACCCTGTAGATCAAACTTTACCCAGGATAGTTCCCTTCCTGACAAAAGTTTAAACTATATGACAGTTAGGCCCCTAATATTAATACGATTGACGAGCCTTGATTCTCAATGATAAAATTCCCATACCTCTAGATACCAAATAGTACTACCGGTAAAGATTCCCAGGTATGTTACTTTACATAATTTCCAACCACACCCTTCACTACACAGTTTTAGACGCAGCTGTCGCGACTTGCAGATAGAAAATAAGCTCGTATATTATTACCAAAAGTCAGTCAATAGAAGCAAAACGATGTTCATTTTGTTCTACAAAAATTCTTATAGTAGGCCTATACACACAATTCGTAAAGATAACCATTGTAAATATCAAGGTAAAACGACTGTAAACAGAGCAAATATGGCTGTATGCACATTATTTACTTCTTTGAGCTGCAATTATCATTGTAAACTCCCAAGACGATACATGCGCCGGAACGTTAATTTTGTCTTGGAAGCATGCATAGTGCTTTGATATTATAGAGGTATATTGATATCATATAGAGGTGTGTGTTCATAACTATAAAATCAACGTCCAACTGCGACAGTTTGCTTTTAACCTATCTATTATATTAAAATTTCACCTATAAGGCAATTAACAACATGTGACGCCACATACAATGGTGGCACACTGATTTTACAGGAGAGAGTAATGGCAAGAAAGCACATTCTCACATCATTATATAGTTATTCAGTGCAAGGGTTCAACTGATATTTTAGTGAAACATTAATATATACAACCCCCCTGTACAGAACGAGAATCTGAATCTATTAAGCAAATATAGTAAGCAAGTACAGCATTTAAAACACACACACACACACATCAGGCAAACACACTCAAACGGTTATGAAAAGTTATTTCACGAAAGCAAATCTATCACAAGTTATTTAAAATAAATTAGTGTCTTCATACACCACATAGAGTTTCAATTTACAATAGTTCAGCCTTAAGCGGTACTGTTTATATACATGTACCTACCAACATTCTCATAACTTAAATCGCAACAACGGTTCAATTTTAAATCTTTCAAGTATTTCTTAAAAATTTCTTTAAAATGTCGACATTTTACATATTTTTCCGATCTGCAGCATAAAGTTCACTTTTCACTTTTCGTGGTTTAAATTGTCGTCTCTTAATCTTGGAAGGTAAAGCACTTTACAGCTCCTCCATCCTCGACGACAACAAGCATTCCATCTGGGGTGAAGGCAACATCCTGTGGGGATTTCAACCCGTCTTCTTTGGTAAGAAGAAACTTCTTAAACACGCCATCTGGAGACAGTAGATGCAGGCGATTGTTGTGGTCATCAGCCAATATGATATCACCGTTTGCCAAGCAGCACATTCCCCTTGGTGCGTTCACCTGACCATCACCACAGCCTGTGGCTCCGTACATGAACTTCAGCACACCGGACACGGGGTTGTAGGCGAGTACTTTGTCAGCACCGGGATGTGACACAAGGATATCACCTGTAACGCTGACTGCAACATATTTGAAGGCATTACCTTGAAGTGGATCAGGAAAACTGTGAGCGACAACCCCATCCTTGTCGTGGATGTATATTGCTTCCCTTCCAGCAATGACGTACTGACCCTTGCTATTCACTGACACTGCGAGCGGCTGTTGACTGTGGAAACTAGATAGCAGTTTGCCTTCCCTGCTGTAGATCATTACCAAGTTCTCTGCCTGTGACCGCAAGACAACGTTTCCATCTTGATCGAATGCAATACCAGCGAGACTGCCATTTGTCAACTCGGGGTTTGTTATAGTCACTATTAAGCGCCTGTTAACGTCGTATACGTTGATCTTGTTCCTCTTCTTATCCTTGTCACACCAGACACCAACACATACGCGCCCTTCAGCATCTACAGCTACATGGTGTGGTGTTTCCGGAGGATCAATATTTAGGTCTACGCGGAATGACCACAACAGTTCCTTGTCCCTGGCATGTCGCACCTCACCCATACACTCACGAAGAACAGTTGACATATTGTTGACATGCTTGGTATCTAGGATTAGACTCTTGGTGGTTGGGATGGTCGGTAACTTCATCTCCGTTAATTCCTTGCTGCGTCTCAAGCAGTTTGCCATAATCTGCAAGACCTCTGGGTCGGAACCGTGAATAATCAAGGCGTTGGTAAAATCCTTAAAGCTCGCAAAACATCCCTGGATTAATTCTAGTTCCTTTTCCATGGGGTCCAGAACTTCTTCCATCTGACTGGTGGCTTCGTTGACTACTCTACGCATGCGGTCCGCATTGGCTTGAACCAACTTTATGAGCTCTACCTCACGTTTTTCAATCGCTTTCTCGAGTTTCTCGCTCTGACAATGAAAATCTGCCTTGCGTTCCTTCACGTCTGAAATAAGACTTGCTAATTCTAACTCTTTCCTTTCTATCTCTTTTTGTTCGTTGGCCAAGCGATCTCTTCCACCTTTAGAAGCTGATGATATGTACTTGCAATCGTGATCTTTATGCTCAACTGAAACGCATGTTCCACATATGAACTTTTCGCAGCCACAACAGAATACTTCGGCCGGGGTCTTGTTATCATGGTTACACAGAATTTGTTGGCGAGAGCGAAGTTCGCTGGCGTACGCCTCTTCATTGAGTTCGCCAAATGGGATTAACTGGTGGTCGCGACATCCACCGTGGCGTCGGTGCTCTGCACTGCAGACGTCACACATGTTGTCATCACAATTCAAGCATCTTTTTGTTGCATCTGCATCTACTGGGGGCTCTTTAAGGGCGCATGTCTCGCATTTGTCCTGCGTCTTCGCTTCGTCGACCTTGTTGACTACCTCAGCGAGGTTAGCAAGAAGACGGCTTTTCTCCAAGTCCTCTGCCCCTTTTTCTGGCAGCTCGCATTCCCTTCTACAGATGGGGCATGGGAAACGGCGGTTACGGTCGAGTTTGACCTTCACGTGCCCCTCAAGACACCTCTTACAGAAACTGTGGACGCAAGGAAGTATTTTAGGTTCTTCATACCTTTCCTCACAAATAATGCATGTCAGGAAATCTTCTTCAAGGATTTTTGACAAAGCCATTGTGTTTAATGCAGGTCTTCTCTCTGTAAATAGAGAATAAAATTGGGTAAATGGGGAGAGGTGTATGCAAGAATAAGTACGGAGCTTGCAGAACAAGCCCGTCGATTGACGTCTGTTACCTTTTTTCATAGGGTTTTCTATCTTTAGCTACACTGTTACAGAAGTTTCTTTCTTAATTTTTGTTTGTCGCACTTATACTTGTACCCCATGATGACATAAAATATTTTCAGTTTCGGGTGATGCTTCTTTTTGTAACCTCTAACAGGGCAGCAGATTATTTGTGCTCTGCTCTTTAAGTTGAATTATGTGCCATGAATTATCCAGATGCATCTGTGAATGTCTTATGAAAACTCAATATGTGACCCTGGTAAAGGGTAACCTTTGTGTCATTTATAAAAATTTTAATTATTTCACTGAGGTGCTGCTAACAAGCCACTGGCGTTACAGTACTCTGGAGCCTTCACTTCCATCTCAAATTTTCAAAATGACGACCTTTTTTTTTGTGAAAAGAAGGCATTCTAGTGAACTTGACATTCTAGCTGACTTGTCGATTAGCACGTCTTCATTGAATTTCGACGGCAAATATATTGATGCTAAGCTGTCTATTAAATGACACTCGCTGTAAACTTACATAATAAATTATATGGCAATTAAGTCGATATTATAAAGGATTGACAACACATGTTTTTTCTATTATTTTATTAGTAATTATTAACTGGCATACTTAACTCACACTATATTGTGTACGGATACTGTTATATATACGCATTCAGGTATTTTTATGTTTTTCATAATGGCATCTGAGAAAAATACGAATAATCCTCCCAATAAATTCCATTAAGCTGTCCATCATTATTCAGCATTATGTACTAGTTACAGTGTAGTTCATTCGTCAATATGTCTGTCATTAACACATCATACCTACAGTGGCGGATATGGGGGGGGGGTCTATCACATAAATGTTCCCTTCTTGAAATTAGAATTTTGACTAGCTGAAGCATAGTTCTAAACCGTACCAGAGGGCACCGTTTGCCCTCCAAAACACCAAAAAATTTTCGGGGCTTTTGAGCACCACTCCAGGGGGGCAATGGTCGACTTCGCATCCGAGGTCTGTCTGTCGTTCCGGACCCCCTCCCCCCTTCAAATAATCCTGGATCAACCCTGTACCTAGGTTAAACAATCGATTTGTAAGTCTATTTTAGGATAATTTTTTATCTCAAGATAACAGTCTGACAGGCCCTGTATCAGTTGTAATGATAATGTCAATGTAAGGATAAGAGCAAAATTGAGGATTAATGTAAACAAAAAAATCCCCTTTTCAGTTATACATTCAGACGTAGGCCATTTTCGCACCAACAAAGCCATTATAAAAACGCCAAAGTTCAATTATGCATAAAAAGTCATTTCGACAATCACATCATACTGACACAAAATTGTCTCATCTTACCTCGTAGAAATATGGGTAAGCATGACCTTGAATGTAAACATTTTAAAATCGTCTTGGATCTATTTTCACTTTCGACTCTTGTTGTGATCGAAATTGGAGATCATTTTATAGCCGTTGCATTCTAAATTTCATAACAATTATGAGAACCGATGATGAAATCTTGCATACCGTTAGAATCAAATAGCACTTATATTTTCTTTAACGTGTGATATTATTCAAGATGCATTAACAAACAAAAGTTTTAACTTAAGAGTACGTTGTCGGTGATGACGTTAAAAGGGGGTCACTTTGTTATCAGCGATTTAAAAAAATGTTCCCCTTTGCAAATCAGGTCAGCTTACAAAAGAAAAGGTGTTTGTCTTTCTGTCTTTATTCTACGAAGAAAAATTAATAAACATAATCTTCAGTTAAACTGCCTTATTCAATGTTTACAAATAACGTACAGTGAAAGGACAAATACGAATTGTAAGCCGGGAATATATCACTGGAATTAACTTTCATTTTCGCCTTACCGTTAATTATAGCGAACAATCTACCAAACTGGATCTTTTAATCGAAATCTAATCTTTAAGTTAAAGTCACACATGTACATCTGTCAAAATACTCAAAACCCTGATGGAAGATATTTATCACTTTTGACTTACCAAACAACCGAGTCAAATATACAGTTTCAACTACATTTACGAATCACCTCTCAATGGATACAATTTAGGTCTGGTCTGATAAGACAATAACTTTTAAATAGAACAACCTGTAGGTTAAATAATCAGGTCAAGCTTGTGTCGATATACCGGTTTTCTTGGTTATAGATTAATACAATAAGAACAAAAGATAACGATTATGACTTTTTAACGTCACTGCTCAAGATATCAACGCTATACGTAGGCGTCAATATTTGAATATACGCAAAATGATAATCTGATACAGTGAATTTAAAAAAGCAAAATGACATAGGTGTGGGTGATGAAATTTGTGTCAAAATAAAGAGAATTTTAGTGGTTAAATATCACTGCATGGCTTAAAAATTTTCAAATTAGTTAAAGAGTATAAACTTTCTTCAAGATCACATACTGAGGCTTTTTGTGGAGTGACATAGTGACGAATTTAAATTCAGCGGATCACCGGAGAGAAAGTCGCGACAAGATGTGCTGGAATAAATCAATCAGTTTGTAGCCGCGCGGTGTTCATGCCAAATTAGTGTTGTGGTAACATTTAGTATTTGTTAAAAAGTGAAAAAACATCTACCAATTTCATCTAAAGATTCCCATTCTGTATTCATTCATGAACAGTTTTGGTGTTCGAACGTTGCTCGTCTGTCACGCATTTCATTCTTCGATCTGTTTCTGTTTACACATGTTGGGTTTGGATGGTTTAGGTTTAAAAAGACATCTACATGTGACTGAATAACGGAACTGGTGGCCCCTTTAACTCACCGAGACCGATAAACATTCTACAACCGGCTGGGCCACTATCAGTAGCTGGCACTTTCCCATTACAGACAGGAGGATACATGTATCATAGAGAATTTCTAGCCGAACCATATAACTGATCAAAATGCTAACGCCATGTACCGGGGTATTGGCAAGTGACACAAGCTAAAATGAGCTATTATTATATTCAAAATAAACTAGTGTTAATTACTTCCTGGAAGAATTTAACGCACATAAACGAACATCTAAATTATTATAAAGGCGTTTAAAAGTAATCTTGATTTTTGTTCAGTGTTAATGATGTATAAGTGCATTAGTGAATTTTGATGATGGACTTGTATTTACATTTTCTTACATGTGTGACATATTTCAAATTGTGCATGTTTCATTCTAGTAAAATAATTAAAGTTAAGTAGGTTCTTATTTTATTTTATTTTGTACAAGATTGTAACTTACACTTAAAAGTAGGTTGTCGTTGATGACGATAAATGGTGGAAATTTGTTATCAGCTATGACGGAAAATCTTCCCCTTTTTAGATATGGTCAGGTGACAAAGGAAAAAGCTATTTTTGCCTGCTGTCTTTATTTTACGACGAAAAATCACTGACCACTATCGTCAGTTAAAATGTTAATCTATGTTTGCAAATTAGGTGCAAATACAAGAATTTAAATGAAAAGAAAAACAAAGTATAAAGCACTGAAACTGTCTTTCATTTTCGCCTGGCGTGGAAGCCGTCATGGTGTGCTTTTCATTCAAATTAGTGAATCTATCACATCTATTAATCTATCACACTACAGCTTTTACTCAAAGTTTTCCCTCAAAATGCAAGTGTCATTTGTCATAATAGACTAACTCCTGATGGAAGACATTTATCACTTTTGACTTACCAAACAACTGAGTCAAATATAGCCTTCTGTTTCAACAACACTCGCCTCTTACGAATCCCTGTTCAAGGTATGGTAGACAGTTCAAGTCTGGTGTGATAAGACAACTTTAAAACAGGACAACTTGTTGATCAAATAAGCAGGTCAAGTGTGTGTATACGCACACGCAGGGACCGATATACCAGTTGCTTGCTGATTCTTTGGTTAATGCAATAAAAACAATAAGATAACGATAATACAGAAGCAATGGAAACATGAACGTTTTATTTCGCAACTACTGTAGGCGTCAATATTTGTTTGTATATGACAAAATGATAATCTGGCACAAAAGCAAAATAACGTGGGTGTTAGAAGTGAATTTTGTATGATAATGAATTTTCACTGCTTGGCTTAAAATTTTGTGAATTTTGTATCCAAATAAAATTTTTTGATTGCTTATACTCTAAGTCTAGTAATTAGGTTTTTTCCACGCTTGGTTAGTTAATGTATCTAAAATGTAAGTTTGATTAGCAGTGGGTACAGTGGTTGTCAATATTTTTTTGTTTTAGAAGAATAGAGCCTTTTGCTTTCGATTTTCAAACCTTTTTCGTCTTCTTAACTACTAACTTCCACTGGGGTATTATTATTATTATTATTATTGTTAAAATCATTTCTGTACAGTTGACTTTTATTACTGTTGTTATTATTATTATTATTATTATTATTATTATTATTATTATTATTATTATAAAACGGTAGGTATAACAGAAACTTATTTAAAAATTTAGAAAATAAAAAAATTAAAGAAAATTAGCAAAACATTATAAAAATATGTTTGTGCAGTTGAAGCAAACGAGCGAATATGAATGCGCGCGCGTGTGTCTGTAAGAGTAGTTTCTGTACATTACTTTTTGTTTTATCTGTATTTTCATATACTATGTACACATTTATTAATTTAATTTATGTATTTCAATAAAAATATGTATTTAAAAATGTGATTGCTAATCAAGGCTTGGCTTAAAATGTTTAAATTAAAGAATAAAACATTTCTTTGATATCACAAACAAAGTATTTTGTAGAGAAAGAGAGATAGTGACGAATTTAATTTCAGCAGGGAACATCGGATAAAAGATGTGATGGAAATAGTTAAACAGCTTGTGGCTGCGCGGTTTTCATGCCAACATAATAAGACTCGTGAAAAATTTTGGTTTATTTATACTAAAATTAAGATCGCCATCTTGCATTTACACTTATTTTTA